ATATATATATATATATATATATGACGTGTGTGCATGTAGAATAATTTTTGTGTATCAAAGCATCCAACAACAATGAAGTTTTGTAGAATGCACATGTATTCTTTAATTACAGTTCAAATTAGAAATAAACTGGAATGGTTTATTTACACAAATATACACTTCATATGTAACCATAGACTTTGAAGTGCTCTGTTGTCATTTTTTTTACAATCTTAAGTGAAATAATAACATGCAAAACACAGTTCTAGACATGTGTGTAGTAGTCCTGCATTTAGCCTCACTCATTTTGCTTTTTTATTCACTCAATGTTCATCTATTTATCACAAGATGAGCATGCCTCTGGAAAAGCAAACCCTGTTATTTAACGAAAGATAAACCATAAAAACACAGCATTTATACAACTATCGTAAGCTCTGTAGAAAGATAGTCAGCAGTAACGTTGTCAGCCTCAGAACAATGTATATCCACGAGTCCCTCCTCCTGTGACGTTTCTTGTGCCATCAAAGGTTCTTGCAGATGTACCTGTATTTCCCTCTCACACCTCCTCCTACTACCACGCTTCACGTAAAGAGTGAAGATCCCAAGAACTGTCACCACTAAGACGGCTATCACTACACCAAGCGCCGTAGGTGGCACAGGACTTTGACTTAAACGTTGTCCTGTTGAGAAAACCACACCAGTATTGACCGACGTTGCCTTGAAGATGGGCCTTTGTACTGTCAGTACATTCCTTGCGTATGCTGAGGTGGTTGTTCTTGTGTCGTTTGGAGGAGGAAATTTTGTTGGTGTCGTCTTAGATAAGATGAAGTGGAATTCTGTAGATGTTTGGTAAGCTTCCGACGTTCGTTTTTGCCTGTCCTCTGGTGGTTTGCTGTCAGACTCAACAGTTCGCTGTAGTAGGAATTTTCTTGTTGTGCTTTCTCCTGTGAATACATGACAAAAAAACAGTTTGTTTTTCAAAATTGAATGCAAAATGTGTAAAAGAAAGAAAAGGAAACTAGAAAGCAAAGCAAATGTATAATGTTTACCTATGCATATGGTTTGCTATGTTAAAACACATTCATAACGTTATATATGGTCAAACAGGAGTCTACATCCCTCATACTATAAAATTGCAACATGATGTAACCCAACACCAGTTACCATGGAGACAGTCGTCTGGTTCAGGTCATTGACCTTATTTGTTTGGAAAAGACGAAACAGAGCAAAAACAATATATTTTCCTCCGGTAAAAATAATAAAACACTAGGTAAAGATGGTAACGGTGACCACCTGTAGGTAATGTGGAATGTTCCATGTTGTCCAGGGGTGGGGGGTAGGGAGGGTCTATGATTGGTCCGCACTGATAACCAGGTTTTACCCCTGTGACGTCACACTCGGCCTGGCGATCGGCAATACTCGGGTACTCGGGAAAACACCAGGAACAGCGATCACAGTCTCTCGTAATGTCGTTATAGAAATAGCCTGCAAACATTTTGGAATATCAATAAATCGAAGAAGAGAGGCATCTCAAAACAATATTCTGTTGTTAGCATGAATGTATAAAAATGTAAGAAAAACACGAAAGTTGCAATTGTTTAAACTAGCAAATATGAAAGACGACCACTCGTACGGACTTTGACACATTTGCAAAATTAGGCCATGTTGATTTGATTATCTGGATGACATCTAAGCGTGCATTAGTTTTCGTCCGTTTAAAAAAAAAGTAAATCGTACAGAGCAGTTGCAACATGAGCAAATATATGCCGTAAATTAAAAGAAATATTGGAAAACGATACTAATGTCGTATACGTAGAATGCCAAAATTAAATCCAAAGGAAAAGAAGAGATGCAAAAAAAAAATGAAAATGAAGAGTCTATTATTCGCCATACCATACTCTGTGTGTTTGGTCATTTGTTCAACCTCCATGTGACCACGTAGACTTCATAATGATGGCAACTTTTTTTTGGCCAAACGCCCAAGCCACCATTTTTTATTCGCACAATCGCATTGTTTTTGGGGTTCCCAGAGGACGTCATCCATATAACCAAATCCTTGCCTTACCTCAGCCTCCTTCGCAGTCTTGTTGGGCGTCGGCGTTATTTTTTCTCTGAGCGACGCGAGTAATATGCGGCCGCGAGGGACGATTTGCTGCCGAGGGAGTTTTTGCCACAGCTTTCGCGCTCCACATCCATGCCAATCGCTCCGAATAAGTGTTTTTTGATAGCCCTTTTTAGTCACCTACTGGAAGCAGTCTTGTTGGAGCGCGAAACCTTCTCTCTGTGGCAAAAACTCCCTCGGCAGCAAATCGTCCCTCGCGGCCCCATATTACTCGCGTCGCTCAGAGAAAAAATAACGCCGACGCCCAACAAGACTGCGAAGGAGGCTAGCCTTACCTTTTACGCAAAGTCCACATCTGCTGTTTCTGGTAGGCGTACACTCTCTTTTGGTCAGCTCGTGGGTCGAGCACACGGAGCACGGTTCACAGCGTCTCCAGTTACTAGCGGTTCCCGAAAACGTCCTCCCGGCGACACACGGTTCACACGCCGTGTCTGCGTACTCCGTACACTCCGCAGAAACACCCTGGCCGGGGGGACACTTGGAGCAATTCTTGCAGACCAGTTTGCCGTCTGGGTTGACATCCTTGTACTTTCTTCCGTGTCCGCGACACTGAAAGTCTGCTGTTGTTGGCAAAGCATGGAGGATCCGGATTGGAAGAACGGCGACCTATATATATGATATAATTATAATAATAACAGTAAGAAGCATATCCGTGAATAGTTTCATCACTTCATAAGCCACTGAGTAAAGAGACTCTTTTTACATAGCCAAGTGTTCGGTGACCGTCTGTCACCTTCCTTAGGGCAATTCTGACTGGTTCACATTGCACTGCAGCACAGGTGTCGCTGCTATATATACATTGTAGATGCATATTGTACGTTTGAAAATGCATCTACAGCAGCGACACCTGTACGTGCTGTGCAATATGAACCAGTCAGCTCTGAGGAAGGTGACAGACAGTCACCGAAACGTTGGCTGTGAACACTTGGCTGTGTAAAAAGAGTATCTTTAGGCTCAGTAATTAAGGTAATATTGACGGGTATAGTTTTGCAGTTTAAACACTAACGTTAAATCATGAATTTACTCATATAAAAGATTCCATAAATCATGCCTTTGTACCAGTAATCTCAGCTCCTAGCGTTGCCACAATATGTAACGTTACCTGTACATACGTCACATGTGACCGAAACCAGATGCGACTATTATTATTCACGTCATATAGCCAATAGCAGTATAGGCTTTGACTTAATGCCTATGACGTTGTGTATACGTAAGTTGAAAGATACCATTCAGGCCTTCTACGAAGGGTGTGACCGTCTACAGACAGAATACCACAAAAACTGTAATCTGTACGTTTTCGCTAGGCTCACGGTGCTCTAAACAAGATTAAACAATACGTGCCTGTGTTAAACCGTGTGTACTTAAAAGCTTTTGGCATGTTTTGCGTGCTACTCTTTGTTTACATGGTGCTATCGATATCGATTACTGAATAGAACAAACGTGCGTCAACGTGGCGTGGACGTTTCCTGTTCGGGTGCCACCTGTTAATGTTGGCTCGAATGTGAACGTACGTTTTATATCCTCTTTTTGTTACCCAGAGAACGCAAATTTCAGGACCACGGCAGAAGTCCAGGGGCTATTAAAGGCTGATTAAGCTGTGACAAAGGTGGTTGTACAAGTTCAGTGGAGCCGCCATTATTCTCGTCAAAACACACGGGGTTGTTAGCGATAGCGTGCCACGTTTAGACAGGGGTTTCTAGTATAGTGCACGTAAATGGCATTCTGTAACGCTGCTACATGTAGCATATCGGACCTAGACACACGGTATAGACATAACCACTGGAACGGTGTTAGGCTCCATATCCAGAGAGAGTTCCCGCCGAAATACAACAACAACAACGGACAAACTGTCGTTTTCGTAGTGATACTACGCAGCCAATACAAACCATACATATCAGGTTTCACTTAACGCTAATGCATTGTCGTTAGGGGACGACAGTAAACCTTTCACAACTGAACTGGTCTTACCATAATACACAGGGAGAGGCACCTGTCCACCATGGTTCCTCTTTCTCCTTCACATGCCGAACAAGGAAATGCCGCAGGCGTATACAGTTACATCTGGTCTACCGAAACTTAGCAACATACAAACCTGAACATGGGACTTTCCGACTGTATCAGTCTACTGCGCATGTATCCCAAAACTGGCTTTGTGTGGGATTGAAATACGATCACTAAAGGCCATGTTGATTTGATTTATATGCATGACATCCTCTGAGAACCCCAAAACTGGCGCGAGCGTGCGAATAAAAAACGTTCGGCAAAGTTTCCTTCTTTATGAGATCTACGTGGTCATAAAGGTTAAACCATGTACTAGGTAGAACACACCTCCATGGTTTAACAAATGACTTAACACTTAGAGTATGGTATGGCGAATAATAGTAGACTCTTCATTTTCATTTCTTCACATTTTCATCTTTTCCTGAATTGATTTCGGCATTCTGTGACATAAGTATCGTTTTCCAATACTTTCTTTGCAAAATAAGACATACTTTCGCTCATTTTGTACGATTTACAGTAATATGGTCGAAAACTTTTTTTTGGAAACGGACGAAAATTCATGCGCGCGGATGTTACCCATATAATCAAATCAACATGGCCCAAATTAGAAATACATGGACAAGGGGTACAATCGGTCCTACTTACTTTTGGTTAGATATAGTTACAGATCTGTGATAGATTGTAGATTGCAATATTTGTAAATAGCCAATGCATCTTATTATGTAAAATACCGTTTGTTTATAGTGAATAATATGTGTGTTATAAATTGGACCTAATTCAGTGGTACCACTGTAATGTTCAATAAAGTTCATGGACTTGAATCTTGTGGTAGCTAAACATATTTTACTGTCTTTCAAGTAAACAGAGAGCTTTCTCCAGAACAGCGCACTCATGTCAAGCACTGTCGCCTAACTCTAACTATAATTACTACAATGTCCAAAAGAGACCGAGTACCAGAGTTTATGGTACTCACACAGTGACTCTTCCTTACTCGGTGGTTTATAGAACTCATTATGTCCAGCTATACCTCACCTCACCGGTCCCATAGCAGCTATACCTAGTGCCTCTATAAAATAAGCTGGGCAAAGAAAGGCTAGGACCAAGTTAGATATTGATGTCAAAGATTCATTTATTGTGCAAATATCAACGTGCACATGTTTGTAATATGTCTACAAAGAAGTAAATCATTCTTGTGTGTAGCTTTACAACGACATCTGCAAACTTTAAGAAGTAAAATAAATAGAATATCGTTTTCAAAGACAATCACACGAATAACACCACAAAATTCTACAAAAATAATATTATGATAGAAGCTGTCTCAGAGTATGTATTTGTACGAGCGTAAACTTTTTTATGCTTATGTGTATATTTCACCGTCCAACATGGAATACATACATGTAAAGTTGAAGCTATATTATCTAATAAAGAGCCTTACATTGTCGTGGATTTATCTGAATCCACACTGGATTTTTTCTGTACCTTTTCATTTCCGTTGTCATTCTGTTCTGTAGGTACATTTTAATATCGATCGACGTTTAATACCAACAGTCAAATAATAGTTGACACGGTGTCTTGAAAGGCCACCTCTCCATGATTTTCTACCAAAGGCGTTTTGTCTGTAGGTCTCTCAGACAACTTCAACTCTACAGACTGATACAAACCTTCATTTCCTTCTCGAAGATAGTCTCTTGCCCTACCCTTGATAAAAAGGACAGCTATTAAGATACTGCAGGTTACGACCATTGCTACAGCAATACCAACGACAGCGCCAGGAGACAACCTTACAGGACGTGTGTTTTGAAGATCTTGGCCTGACTGACTAGATAGTCGTCTGTTGGACGCTTCTTCCGTGAAGATGCGCACCGAATCCGTGAGGTACTCGGTGGGGACGTCTTCGGAGAACGGAGACGTTTTAGTCGGTGTACAGTGTGTGGACATGTCTCGTTCTCTATCGTCTCCAAGCGAGTGGTCTTCTTCTCCCACGTACTCAATAAGATGATGGTGTTCTAGGGGCTCTGTTAAGAAAAAAAACTTTCACGTTAACAATTTTTGTATAAATTGTTCAACTAAATGATATGTTAGTGTTCAAATACACCAAGAAGTTCAAATTCCAACCAATCATAATCGTTTAGTTATCCGCCAAATTATTCTAAAAGGACTGTTTGTTATTACCTTCGCCAAGAAGGTTATGTTTTCAGTAGCGTTTGTCTGTGTGTGTGTGTGTGTGTGTGTTTGTGTGTGTGTGTGTGTGGTTTAGCAAGATAACTCGAGAAGCAGTGGATGGATTGGAATGAAACTTGGTAGGTGGTAGGACTTCATGAGACCTAGAAATGATTAGATTTGGGGCCCCCTGGCGGCTTTCCTAGGTACTGCAGCTGAACTTCCGGTTTTGATATCTCATGTTCTGGACATGCTAGGGTCACGAATTTTGGTTGGTAGATAGCTCTTGGGGTAGGGAAGAAGTGACATGAGTTTGGGTCCCCTAGCGCCTTGTTCTGGAACTGCAGGAGCATTTGTTGAAAAAAAATTTGAAGGACGATAACTCAAGAACCGGTTGACGTATTGTCGTGATTTTTGGTATGTAGGTAGTTGAAGTGATGCTTGACATAATCAAATGGCAATTATGCAAATCAGGAGCTAATTTGCATAATTAATGAGGAAATTCTATAAATCTGATTTGTTCGATAATAGAACTATGAAACAGTTGTGACATCTACTTGAGAACGAGAAAAACATCTGAGGATATAGATTATGCAAATGAGGACCTAATTTGCATAATTAATGGCAAATTCTTATAATTCCATAGTTGTAACTGCTGCACCCCGAATTTCATACTTGCCACATTTGGAAGTTAAGTGAAGGTGAACATTAATAAACATAATTTATTCAAATCATGACCTCATTTGCATAATTTATGAGGAAGTGCTATAATAGCCTTTTTGTTATGATAAGGCTGTCATTGGGTGGAGAATATGATCAACTGATATAATCCATGCAAATGAGGCTCTTATTTACAAAATCAATGATTAAAATTGTAGAATTCGTCACCCGCAAGGGTTAACATCTTTTGGCGAAGGTATGAGATCGTGGAACTCTTGTTTATTTCATTTGTTCGCACCTCTACTAAACGTAGTGCTCCAGAGTAAGAGTAGTAATGTAGTAATTATCTACTAGTCTTACTGTTCCGGAGTAAGAGTAGTAATGTAGTAATTATCTACTTGTTATACTGTTCCGGAGTAAGAGTAGTAATGTAGTAATTATCTACTAGTCTTACTGCTCCGGAGTAAGAGTAGTAATGTACTAGATATTTACTGGTCGTACTGCTCCGGAGTAAGAGTAGTAATGTAGTAATCTACTAGTCTTACTGATCCGGTGTAAGAGTAGTGATGTAGTAACTATCTACTAGTCTTACTGCTCCGGAGTAAGAGTAGTAATGTACTAGATATTTACTGGTCGTACTGCTCCGGAGTATGAGTAGTAATGTAGTAATCATCTACCAGTCTTACTGCTCCGGAGTAAGAGTAGTAATGTAGTAACTATCTACTAGTCTTACTGCTCCGGAGTAAGAGTAGTAATGTAGTAACTATCTACTAGTCTTACTGCTCCGGAGTAAGAGTAGTAATGTACTAGATATCTACTGGTCGTACTGCTCCGGAGTATGAGTAGTAATGTAGTAATCATCTACCAGTCTTACTGCTCCGGAGTAAGAGTAGTGATGTAGTAACTATCTACTAGTCTTACTGCTCCGGAGTAAGAGTAGTAATGTAGTAATTATCTACTAGTCTTACTACTAGTCTTAATGTAGTAATTACCTACTAATCACTCTCTGTGCTTTTGCTCCGGAGCAGTAAGACAAGTAGATATTTACTACATTACTACTCTTACTCCGGAGCAGTAAGACTAGTAGATTACTATATTACTAGTTTTACTATTCTTACTCCTAAGCAGTAAGACTAGTAAATATTTACTACTTTAATACTCTTACTCCGGAGCAGTAAGACTAGTAGAGAATTACTACATTACTACTCTTACTCCAGAGCAGTAATGTAGTAATTCTCTACTAGTCTTACTGCTCCGGAGTAAGAGTAGTAATGTAGTAATTCTCTACTAGTCTTACTGCTCCGGAGTGAGAGTAGTAATGTAGTAAATATCTACTAGTCTTACTGCTCCGGAGTGAGAGTAGTAATGTAGTAAATATCTACTACGCTTACTGCTCCGGAGTAAGAGTAGTAATGTAGTAAATATCTACTAGTCTTACTGCTCCGGAGCAAAAGCACAGAGAGTGATTACCTGTCCGATGACTAGTCTCCGTTGTTCCATGAAAATCCCTGAGTGGAGGAGGGTAGGGCGCGTCCAGGATCGGAGCACAGTGGAATCCCGGCGGCACTCCTGTCACGTTACACCCGCTCACAAAGTCGGTGATGGCGGGGTACTCGGGGTAACACCAGGAGCAGACATCACAATCTCCCGTTATGTCGTTGTGGAACCAACCTTAGAGAGGATTATATTTACCCGATGTTAGATAGTTTGTCAATAAATGTCTTTATAGGCCCCCTCGAACTGCAAAAAAAGTCAGGCATAACCACGCATAACTGCGCAAAAATCCATCCAATTGTTGCCACTATTCATAGGAGGTTTTCGAAAAGTCTCCTATGATAGTCGACGCATTGTGTTTCAAAGATATTTTCGTAATGATTTTGCTTGATTTTAATAAATTTCTAACACAAAGACTCTAAAATGAAGCCAGTGTCCACAAAGGCCCTTTTCTCTCTAGGATAAAATTGTCCGGATCGAGCCGAAAACCCTGGATGCCAAACTAGTATCGGGCCGTTAGCCGTTTTCCTTCGGCAGCCAAGAACCCTTCGCCCGCCTATC